AACTGAAATCTGTCCCAGGGGTGGGGACTCTGCTACATACAGAAGGAGGTAGCGGTGTTCAGATCAGGGGAGAAGTGACATTGCTGTCTCCAGCTTGGGCCTCTCAGATTGAATTTAGACCTCAATTCAAATTTCTGCTATGCCACGTGTCACTTCGGACAAGTCACTCCCACCATCTGTGCCCTTTGCCTGTAAAATTAATACAATTCTTTGCTAATTCCTATGCCAGGAGAGATCTGAGTGCATAGGCTTTGAGGTTTGTGAGTATATGAACCTCAGAGTTAACAAAAGCGTTCCCACCACGGTAAAACTTCCTTCTACCTCATTTACAATATGTTTCTGTGTCAACAGTGCACTGTATACTTTAGTGCTGTTTGCTTGTAATTTTTCTTAGAACAGTTGTCCTTTGCATGTGAGAAATGTGGCAAACTTTGTTTAACAATTGTAAAACCAATGTACTTTATACATAGCATTGTTATTTTAAGGTCAAGACGAATTTATTTGTAATATTGTGTTTACTCATGATCCTTGAGCTGATTTGCCTGATGTTTGTTTTTGCTTTCCCCTCTCAGTGGCAGTGGTAGTCAACCTACTGGTTTTAATGACTGTACATGTGAATTTATCTTCTGCAGAGAGACTTGAACTTACTCTCTGTCTCCTCTGCAGAAAGCTTATCCCTCTCAGGAATGTGAGAGTAATATGGAAGCACTAGGTTAAGAAATAAGGTTCCTGGACTGCTTTCATTCTAGTGCATCTGTTCTAGCTTTAATTTGTTCATAAATTTTTTTTCACAGATATTAGCTACTTTTTTTTTTTTTTTAATAACATTACTGCTCTGTAATCATGCTGTGTTTCTCTGTGTTGATTGCCTAGCACTGAAACATACAGAAAAAAAAAAAGCTGATAATCTTGCATTACTGTCATAACCTCTGTGGTCACCAGTGAGATGTAACCAACCTGAAGAACAAGTGGAGTAGTGAGGTAAATCTTCATGAAAGTCCCCAAGATCTTTCCACACCTTAGGAAGAAACAGGATACTCTCAGGATAAGTGTAAAGAGGGCACAGAATTGGCCAGAACACTGGTGCTATTAGAAATGTTTTAGTAAGAAATAAACTGACTTGGAAGACAACATGAGACTTCAGCTGAGCAATATCTGTTGGAATTACCTGTTCCACACACAAGTGAGGCACCTATCATCCTGTACAGGAACAAAATGAAGAAGAAACACAACATAATATGGGCCAAAAATTACCTCGGTAATCAACATATGAAGGAACAATTAAATAGAGTTTGCTGCTCTGAGTGTTTTCAGCACCACAGCATTTTAGAACCACTCTGTTCCCCAAGTTCTCAGGTCACACTGAGAACTTCTTCACTGTCCCTAGATGCTGCCCAGACTTAGAGAGGCCACTCCTTGCTGCATTCCAAAGATAGCTGCTTGCAAGAACTTCTCTCCATAGGTGGCATACCTGGAAAATGGAGAGCGTTCCACAATGGGAACAGTAGGGTGGTCGTGGCTTATCTAAAAAGTTGAGAGAGGAGGCACATATGCATGTTGGTCAGATTTTGGGCTTTGGGAGTTGGCCAACAAATGCTTTCTCTGTCACTCAGCACCAAGCCAGCAAGTTGGATTTTGGCTGTAACAAATTCTGCAAGTTTCACTCCAGTACATCAGTATCACAAATTGCTCTGTGTCTGGTGATTTTAATTCACATCCATGAACTGCTATAAGGTGAAAATATTGTGTGCAAAATACACAAGCAAGATATAAAAAAAATTAAGTAGCTTAGTGATATTGGCATAATTAAGACAATGCAATTTGATGGTCCTTTTCTTCCAAGCTGTTACGGAATACTTGCTCCAGATTACCTTTAATGACATGGAGAAGGCAATACCTTAATAGGACTCTCTGGTACTTCCTTCAGTATTGTCAGCCAAGGTAAAATAGTTACTAACTGGCACATAAAGGTTACAAAGAGCAGGCATGCAAAGCTAGGGTCCGTACTTGGCTATCTCACAAGCTTAAAGTAATTAGGTCAGGCAGCATAGGAACAGGACATTAGAAAGGAAAGTGTGAACTCTCCCCATCTTCACTGCAACCAACACAAAAGGCAGCTTTGATCTAGGATCAGGGTGCATCACTTTGTTACACTTTTCCCTCCCTTAACAGAAAAAAAGTACACACCCTGAAACACTGACAGTATCTCAAATCACAGTGATGCTGTTAAATTAGTTTCATACACATTTGCAAGAGGTCCAAAAGCAATACTTGGACTCTGTTGATGTAAAAAAATTTTTCAGTGCCTGTGCTCAAGGGCTGTGTTCTGTTGGCTTACCAGTGATTAGAAGTCAAGGGCATGAACCATGTGCTGTGGTGTTAACCAGCTACTGTTTCAGGGCGGCGCACACATCAGCATTGCCAAATGCAACTTCTCTGTGCCAGGCTGATTATAGGCAGATTATCAAACCTAGGAGCACCTGCAGGCACTTAATTTCTTTTCTGCCATCCTGAAGAAAGATCTGGTAGCTGAAGAAAAATTGATTTACCCAACCTACTGAGTTGAAAGGCAGATAAGTGTAGTGTTTTCACTGTGACCTGCGTTGCAACACCAGCTTTCTCACATGGACTTCCTGAGCTAGCTCTCAGCTCTGAAGTTTGGAAAGCAGATATGGAGTACCCACACCAGCTTGGAGCTTAACCTCTACTCCCAAACCTGTGCAATAAGGCAAAAAAATTAGGCAGAATAGTTAGTCCAGGTATTGGAAACTGTGCAGCCCTAGTAGTAAGGGGAAGACTTCTTCACCTACCAGGGCTACACAGTTTGAAATATTCAACCCAACTGAATTAAAGCAAAGCAAAACAGAATGGTAATTGAATCCTTTGCTATCAAATTACTATCCTAAGCACTTGGTAAGTGTGGACCCCCCTGACATGCAGTTTCTGCAGAAAAGGGACCATTTCTCCCTGGATACAGGGATTAAAGGAGAAAATATATGATGCCTATTTTTTCCCAAGAGGACCTGAGCTTATAGATCTTCTACATGATAGAAAACTGAACGAGGAAGAAATTGGTTATTTAGGACCTGTTTCAAAAGGGCATACAGATGCCAGTCACTCTTCACAGAAACTTTGCTTTACATATAAACCTTCCAACCACCACTCCTTTTCCACAAGAGCCTTCTTTCATCTGCAGCTGATTAAGAGAAAATCTGAATGATTGTTCAAAGCTCCTCTCTTATAAAACCTAGATAGTTCAAAGTAAGAATGCAATTGTCACTCACAACAAAAATTGCAACGTCTTTAATGGATTTCTCAGGGTAAATGCTAAATATTTCTTCCAGGCTTGAAATTCCTTTCAGAGTACCTGCCCTAACTGCCGCACTGATCTGGTGTGGCACAAAAGCCACACCTATTTTTTCAGTGCCTTTTTGAACCAAACTTTCCTGTGTATAATTGGCTTATTTTAATAGAATCCACCCCATTAGGTCATTTTGCAGAAACCTCATTGGAGTTATTCATGTATGTTCAGTTTGCTCAAGGACTGGTATCATAAATTCCTTCTCTATATAAGTTCTCTGAGGAGATTAATTTCCTGTGGGCTGTTTCCTTAAAGGAAGCCTCAGAATTCTGCAAGAATGGTGAGTTCTTACATCTTATACTGTAAAATACCATGGTATGTTGCCATAGATTTTAAAGGAGGTTTTTTTTTTTGTGTTTTTTTTTTTTTAAATCTCAGTACTATGAGATCTAGGCAAAAAGTATGAACTTTGAAGAAGAGTAAAAATTCTGTATTTTGAAAGCAAAAATCTGAGATAAGCACAGGCAGATAAGAACCTTGGGTGAAATATATCAACATGTATATGACAGGAGACATCTAATAGGACTCCAGCCAAGGGTTTTTTTGTTTGTTTGTTGTTTTAGTTTTATAACCTGTTTTCACTTGCATGTAATGTTTGGAGATAACCTCTTTTCTAGCAGAGAGCAACTCTGTTGTGTCTCCACCTAGAATTTGCCTTCATTTTTGTGAAAAGTCAGGATAACGTCTGAATATTTAGTTAAACTCAAAAACGTTACCTTAGTTTTTACTCATTTGCATCTTTGTTGCAGTTCTGTGGGTTTTAACCTGTCCTGCAAAACAAAATACTAGTTTTTCCTCCTCTCATCTTCTTATAAGTCACCTGTTCTACTCCATCCAAAACAAATACACATATGTACAATGTACATATGTGTAAATATATATGTCATTGTTTATTCTTGGTCTACATTTCTTATCAAGGTTTTAAATTTATCATGGCTAATTCCATCCTAAAGTTCTTGCATTTATTTCCTACATATCCCAAATGAAAGCCTTTCATACATTGAAGGGTAATGTTCCTCAGACTAGCTGAGGAATTTGAGCCAAACTCAGAAAAAGCTGCTGACAAAGGTTACAGAGTATAGAATTATCTAGGTTGGAATGGACACCTGCAAGTCATTTGCTCTGACCTCCTGCTCAGAGCAGGGCCACGTCAACTTCAGCTAAAGTTCTTCAGCTTGTCCCTAATCCCTCAATATTAAGGTGAAGTATATGGTGGGTTCTTTAGACTCCAGTGAAGAAGTTTTTACAACTATGAGTTAGGTTGCTGTCACAGACAGTTGGTCATCATGTACAGTTGGTGACCAATCCTATGGAGGAAATAAGGGCAAGAAAAATTAATGGGGAGGGGAAAGGAATGGAGCACACTCCCTTTACAAACATTATCCGTGTCTGACTATTCTGTATCAAGCAATGATTGATTTTAACAGCTTAGAAAGATAAACTTTCTCCCGCCCCCCAATCATACTCTGCCTATGAATCTTCTAAATGGTTCAGTATTCCTGTTTGCATTTTAAAAGTTTCTAAAGAAAATTACATTTTGATTTGAAGCCAAAATACATTTTCCTGTTTCTAGTGATAGCATTTATCATCAACTTAATAGTTACTGAAGCATTCATATGAATACTGCTTTCTTTTTCAGAAAACCATCTTGGCCTGTCTTCTTGTTCTTGCCATTAGTGTGTCACTGTCCAATGCTTCTTGCTTCCTTCAGCCATTGAAGTCAGAGACAGCTAATGGTGAGTAGGTAAAAATTCAACTGTTCTCAACTTGACAGACATCACCACTATCTCTGCCTGATTTGATTTGTCCGTTCTGTGCAATTTATCACAAATTAGAAATAAGTGGGAACAGTGCAGAGAAACTCAGGAGAAATGGAGTACAGAGAGCATTTGTAATGTTATAAAAAAGAAGAGTTTCTCTGAGGAGCATCACACAGGCCAAATTACAAATGAATTTTGTCCAAGGAAGTAGCATAGGCTTAGTTTGTTCATCTGCATGAAGTAATAAAGCACATTGATCAATTTACTCCGTTTCTCTATACCAAGGCAAGTTCTTAAGAACAGAATGTCTGCTCCCCTTGAGTCTGAGACTGCTTTTCCTGAGCACAGCTAGTATATCAGTCTACAGATGACTGGAGCCAAAGGAAAATAATTGCATTTTTCTTTTTTGAGCATTTATGTGGACACAAATACTGATGTATGACAGTATGTAAACTAAAATTAGTGCCCTAAATAGAGCTTTTCCAGGGAAAGCTAGTGCTGCTACTAGAAAAATGAATTAACATTGCCAAAGAAACAGAACGCATAGGCAAGGATAGGATCTAGAACCTCAAGATTCTCCACTGTGTTTTGCCCTGTCGTCATAAAATCCTGCTTTTCAGATCACTTATTTAGGAAGTCTATTCAGTGTCTGTTGGACAGGAGCTTTATGTCCAATACATGTTTTCTTCCTGCAGCTGGGAACCAGGAAAAGTTTTCCAGGCAGATTTAGTGTTGCTCTAAGTGAGGAGTCAACAATAGTGGGTGTTAATGAGGGGGGGAATGTCAGAGCCTTTTCTTAACTCGGACTGCATCTGTGCCTAGCTGTCTTTCTGCTGGGTACTTAAAATCCTGTACTTAAAGATGAGCCACTCCAGGAAATCCCATGCTGCTGAGAACCACAGGAAGCAGAGTGACCCAGGATACTCTTCTGCATGCATTAGAATAGTAGCAGTCCTACTCTCTTGTAGAGCAACAGTTCTGCTGTGTTGGGGAACATCTATGTTTGCCAGATATGGATGTTAGTGTAAAAAGCCAACAAAGATTCCACCTGTTTTGTTACTAGCAATAGCATTGTTAGTGCAATAGGTCTCACACTGAAGGCTGCTTGGGCACTGTGTTTTCAGGCTGTCATGACTGGAAAGGACAGCTGCATGAATTTGATTCCAGCTGGAGGACCAGTAACTGCCTTGACTGCTCCTGTTCCAAGGCTGGAATTCGCTGCTGCACCAGGTGAGCTCAGAGCAGCAAGTGTGGAGGGGTGGGGAGTGGTTTGTCCTCCACTGCCATGATACCACCCAAACCACTTCACACACAGGTCTTTAAGAAATGACCATGACCCTACTCAAGCTCAGTTCATATCACAAAGTTATGCAGTAACCCAACACCATCATCACAGAGCATTCAGGAAGTTCTGACAAATACAGCTCATGTTTAACAAACAATTCTTGATTTTACTTAATTATTCTTGGGGCTAGAATTTCAGGCAAAATAATGATTCAAGGAAGAACATGTAGTTAATTAAGGAATTTCTACTGCTCCTAATCCAGATCTTCCCAAGGCTTCTCTCAGAAGCAGCTCACAACCCTTTGGTCTGTCTGTAATTTTTCCTATAGTGACATGCAACCACTCATGCAATTCTTGTTCCATACTGTGGCCAACAAGTAAAAGCAAATATATGGAGTAGCAAATAAACATAATATACCTTCAGTGTAAATCAGATCATTAAACTGCAACTCTCCCTTCATCCTGCTTAAGCAGCAGGCTAAGTAACATTTGTGCTTGGAGCTTTGTGTGACCTCCTGAACACCTCCTCAGTATAGCCTCTCCATATTAAAAGTGTAGATTCCATCTGAAATGAAAGGTGTTTAATTCTTGGTCTCATCACCTCTTTATCTTTCTTTTCCCAATGACAGCTTTGCATCACCAGTTGGCTATGATGAAGAGAAGTGCATAAAGGTTTTCAATAAGGAGAACTGCACTTACAAAGTATTGGAGAAAAATGATCACTCCAAAGAGTGCCCAGTCAGTGGGTGGGTGGGTTAACAGAGAAAGACTGTGAATCTGGGGGGTATTTCTTTTTTTGTTCTAAGGGTTCTCTCTCACACAGATTGAAAAACACTGACAAATCCAGCTGTTGAGTGAAATCTACTTGTAAAACCTATCATATAATAAAACTTAATATCAACTCACAAAAGACTCGCTAGATTTCTCCGTCTTTCATTTCTCAATGAAGAAAAAACTGACTTTTTCCTTCCTTGAGGACAAAAATTAAAGCTGAAATTTTTAGGTATCCTCAGTAGCTGCTAAATTTAATTCTTGTCTAGTCACACTTCATTAGCAGGGGCTATATTCTGTTATCTGTGCACAGCTGTATGTAAAATCTAAAATAAAATCAGATGAAACATCAGAAATCCATGTGACTTATTTTCTTCTTTGAAGATGGAAACCTAAAGAAATAACCAAAAAAATTAAATAAATAAATAAATGAAAAGTACCTTAAAAATCTTCCTGAACACTTTTTTTTTATGACAATGTCTTATATAATGGTCTTTTAGCCTCTATGGCTCCCTGGAGCCTGCCCAACCTACAGTCTGTAAGAGCCACCAGCTACCCAGTCTAACCCAGCCCTACATTTCCATTGTACCCACAGCACAGCAGACCCAGACCTCAACCTGGGGTTTTGGTAAAAGAAAAGGTCACTTATTCACATTAACCCTTAAAAAATTCAAGTTGTTAAATTGGTCAATGGGCAGAATTGAGGCAGGGTGGAGAGACGGATTTGGACTGGGGTCACACAGGGCAGAAAGTCAGCAAATCCACAAACAACAACCAAGAACAATACACTTGTCAGTACAAGCTCTCCCTTGGGACACTGCTTCCTAATCTTTATGGGTACATTTGTTCAGTTACCTTTTCCCAGAAGTCACTATGAGCATCCTACATCTACATGCTCTATTTCCACATAACAGAAAGAGGATGTCAGGGCTTCTGTAGCTTCCTCATTTCAAATTATGGAATAAGCACGTACCTTGTCAGCCAACCCAGTTCTGCTGTCTGCAGGGGCAAAACAAACTTCAGCTTTTGTCAGCATTGACCACGTGTGCTCTAGTGAGCACCACAGGACAGGAATTACACTCCAGTGTTTTATTCTGCCCCTGTTTCCCTTTTTTCTTCCCCAGGAAGACAACCCTATTGGTTATGCTTTTTAAACTGCCTGCCACATGCCCTCTTGGAAGAGAGCCCACAGTAAGCTACTTAATACAACAGTTTACAAGCCAAAGCTGCAAATATCACTGTGCAAA